ATGTGTGTATGTGTGTATGTGTGTATGTGTGTATGTGTGTATGTGTGTATGTGTGTATGTGTGTATGTGTGTATGTGTGTATGTGTGTATGTATGTATGTATGTATGTATGTATGTATGTATGTATGTATGTATGTATGTATGTGTGTATGTGTGTATGTGTGTATGTGTGTATGTGTGTATGTGTGTATGTGTGTATGTGTGTATGTGTGTGTGTGTGTGTGTGTGTGTGTGTGTGTGTGTGTGTGTGTGTGCGCGTGTGCGCGTGCGTGCGTGCAGGCGTGCATGCATGTATGTGTGTATGTGTGTATCACAGGCACTTGAAGCGTTTCAATAAAATATAATGCCAACTAAATACGAAATCTATTTACTACCAAATTCTCAATGTTTCTATACTCTCTTTAACCTATTATTGCCGACAGTTTCCTGTCAATTCTGTCCAAATCCTACGCGCAACCATATACGCTGCCGGCGACATTGCTCTCGCGGCTCCACTGTTGCACGCTTACCCTAATATATAGTTATATGTAACTATACAGGGTACCCTATATAGTACCCTAGTACACTAATATATAATATATACACTACTATATATATTAGTGTAAGCGTGCAACAGTGGAGCCGCGAGAGCAATGGCGCCGGCAGCGTATATTGTTGCACGCAGGATTTGACAGGAAACTGTCGGCAATAATAGGTGAAAGAGAGTATAGAAACATTAAGAATTTGGAAGTAAATAGATTTCGTATTTAGTTAGCATTATATTTTATTGAAACGCTTCAAGTGCCTGTGGTGTGTATAGGGAAGTCGATTACTACCCGTGATCGTATTAGTGGTTACGCGTGAGTGTGTTGTATTACACCCTTTGCTAACGTCTATTAAATACAGGTTATAAAGAACATAACAACTATGATATACGTATCCAGTTATTCTCTTTAATTGTACTATGTATATGCCTATAGCGGGGCAAACGCGTACAGTGGATGTGTGCGAGTAACATCACAACTTACGAGGTTATTACTGTCTCGTAGCCTTCTCTAACCAATGTCTCTGTCTGAATCTCTCTCCGATCCCTCTCTTTAGTCGAACACGCCTACCTATTGTTTATGGTCACTCCGTTCTACGTTACTGTCTGTAATTGGCTAATTCTACCACTGACTAGTCCAGGGTCATAACCTACCGTTAGCCTGGGTGTAACATCGTTAGCTTGTATTTCCAAAAAAGAACAATAGCTTATTCCTGTATATTTACTTCTCTGTCTTACGACGGTATTACATATGTATGTATGTATGTATGTATATATATGTATATATGTATGTATGTATGTATGTATGTATGTATGTATGTATGTATGTATGTATGTATGTATGTATGTATGTATGTATGTATGTATGTATGTATGTATGTATGTATGTATGTATGTATGTATGTATGTATGTATGTATGTATGTA